AAAGTTCGGGGATTCTCCGTGCGGGATGCGGGGGCGCCCCGAACCATGCCGTGACCGCCATTGGTTGCGGCGGGGACGCGCGTTGAGAAAATCCTGCGGGCTGCCGCAGCTTCCATTGGAGATTGCCTTGAAATCCTGGGGGGACTGGCGGGGGGGCGGGGGCGAGGTCAAGGTTGCGCCGTGCGAGGTCACGCACTTTCTGGCCCTGGGCGCCGTCGCCGCTGGCCACGCGCACGCCTTCCTAAGCCCCCGACGGCGTCGGCGGCGGGGGAGGGGGCGGCGGCGGTTGGGAGGAGAGCCCGTTCAAGGTCGTGGAAGGCCACGGTCAGGTCGAGCAAGAGTGCGCGGTGAGCCCAAATGCCCTGGGCGCGCATAGAGAAGACGACTATTTCGACTTCGAGGTCACCGTGGAACAGGGCATCAAGCCTGGCGCGTTGTCTTTCAACGCGGATGCGGGCTGGGACCACAACGTAGATGGCGGAGAGCGAGGTAGTGGGGCCCCTTGAATCTTTGGTCGTCAGCGGCAGCATCCGTTGGACGTCGGACTTCTCTGTCAATTCGGAGGGTTGGAAGACTTGCCATGGGGTCGAAGCAGCAATGCGCGTGACTTGCGACAGCGTGTTTGACGATCTCGAGCTATCAGATGATGACATTCGGAGCGTGGGCTGCCCCGCGGGCTGTGCCACATCTTCCAGAGCGATCTTGGGAAGCGACCCGTGCTTCGGCGATTCGCCGATTTGCAAGTTTGCCGCGCACGTCGGTAAAGTTGGGGAAGAGATTGAGGCGCGTGCGATTGGCATAGCGGACAAGTTTGAGGGGCCCCACAGCAATGACATCGACAAAGTGGGCTACGAGTATGGTTGGAACGCTGTTAGTATCAGCTGATCGACGGGGCCCTTGCGCATGCGTTTCAAGATTTTCGCCGAGAGGCCTGCCACAGTGCGGATGGAGCTCTCTAAGTAATGTGTGTATGTGTATGCGTATATATATATATACACACTAGATGTTACCGGCTCGCTACGCTTAAGTTGCAATGTTAGTCGCATGGCGCCAGCGAGGTGCGTTGCGACCGCCGTCGCCGTCAATTGGGAATGGGGGGGTGGGGCGGCGCGGTCCCAGCGCTTTTAGATATCGGGGTCATCTTGGGGCGGAGGGCTCGAGATGTCGGTTCGCGCTCCACTCTTTTATTTTGCCCCCCGCGCTGGCATGCCAAGCGGCCAGCCGGGCCGCGACCTCCTCGGGATGAGCGTGGCCTATTTTGCCCTTCGTGACGGCATGCTAAGCAGCCGGCCTGACCGCCACCTCCTCGGGCCGCGCCCGGCTCATGTGCCCTTTCGCGCTGGCATGCCCAGCAGCCGGCCCGGCCGCAATTTCCACGGGTTGCTTTGGTTTCAGCCTGCCCATCTGCTGCCAGCGATCGTCCTGGGTTTCAGGTTTCGCGCAAGCTCCTTTGCGGGTGGGCGGCTTGTTCGATCAGGATACGTTTGACATTATCTGGGGCTCCTGATGCCAGCTCCCCCCCCGGCGCGGCGGCGCACGTTGGCCACCTTCTCGGCTGCGCCCGGCGCCCGCGTGGCTGTCTTCTCGGCCGGGGGGGGGCCTAATACGAACTGCTTCAGGTCCCAGAGAAGTCTGGTCGACCCTTGGTGCGCGGCGCTTCGAAGTTGATGGAGTCTTTTGGGCACTGCGTCTCTTGCTTTCCGACTCGTGGTTCTGCTCGAGCTGACAGACGGCGCCGCGGATTGTCAGCAAGCTGACAGGTCGCAGTGATTGTGCAGCGGGCTCGGTGGGATCCAGTGTGGCTTGCGGTGTGCTGGTAGGTTGTTTGCCTTCAGCGCAGAGCAGGAGGGGTTGTGGGAGAGGGAAAAGCGGGGAGGGCAGAAGGGACCAGATGGGAAAAAAACAGAGGAGCAGCGGACATCCCGCTGTTGGCTTGGAGTGGCGGCGGGGCGCCTGGCAAAATAATGAAAAAATGCGCACGCGGTCCCCGCATCAGAGAAAGTCTGGATTCGGCTTGTGTCGGGGATTCGGTTTTCTGCCATGTGTTGGGCCGGGGGGGGCCAGGCGGACAGCGACGGCGAGGACGACGAGGGCGACGAGGAGGACATTGATGAGAGGGGAGGAGGAAGAGGAGAACGACGACGGCACGACGAGGAAGGGAGAAGGAGGAGGAGAACGACGACGACGACCACGGCGACGACGACGACGGCGACGACGACCACGACCACGACCACGACCACGACCACGACCACGACCACGACCACGACCACGACCACGACCACGACCACGACCACGACCACCACGACGACGACGACGACGACGACGACGACGACGACGACGACGACGACGACGACGACGACGACGGCGGCGGCGGCGACGACGACGACACGACGAGGAGGACAACGACGAGGGGGGAGGAGGAGGAGGAATAAGCCAGATGGACGACGACAACGACGAGGACGAGGGGGAGGAAGATGAGGACAACGACGAGGGGCGGAGTGCCAGCACCCCCGCCCTATCAGCCCAGACCGAGGGCAAGGGCAGAGGAGAGAAAGGCATCGGAGTCAGACTGGAGCCATACAGTGGAAACCCATACCAAGAAACATCCTGCTCGCCTGTGCCGTGGGTTTCTTGGGTTTCCATGGTTGCTATGGAAAGCGTGACGTCCCCACACTAAAAAACAATGGACGTCGTTGGGTCTCAGGGTAGGGTTTCTTGTGGAAGGTTTCTTGTGGTCAAGTTCCTACTGTATTGGGGCACTCTTGGGATCAACGAGGGTTCACGAGGTCATCTTGGGGCAATGTCGAGGCAACCTCGAGGTCGTCTCGGAAACGGCGTTCGTATGTCACGGAATGTCTTTTGGAGGCAGCATCATGTTGTGGTGGCGTTGTTGGTCGTGCCGTTGTTTGTTGTTTGTCACTATTCTAGTTAGTGTTGTTGTTGGTGTTTTCTGATGTTGGTGCTGTTGATTATGTTGTTTCTGGTATGCAGATCATAGGATGTGCTAACGTTGTTGGTGGCTTGCGTCGTGATCATACCACAGCACACCAGAGGTCTCATTAACCGAGCATGGCCGCTATGAGTGCTTTTATAGAACATCATGTTGTCATTTGCAGTGTTGTTGCTGTTGATGTCGTTGTTGTCGTTGCTCTTGATGCCTGTTGTGCAGTCAATGGCGTGCAGTACGTGTGGTGCTTGCTGTCTACGTGGTGCAATTAACCACCCTGCCCCGCGCGTGACCACCTCCCATTGCTCGTGCAAACATTTCACCCACCCACCCGCAATTTGATTGCAAAATCCATGCGGCGGCGACTGCGACGGCTGCTTGGCGCTGGCTGGCACATCGCCGAAGTCGCGCTTGCGCGCGCAGGCTCGCGCACAGAACGACCACGGCCGCGGTGGCGCTGACCGCTGTGCACTTCCCAGCCCGTCTTGCACGCCGCGCTGACGCTCGGGCACGTCAGTGCGAGTCGGTGCCTTGAGCGGGCGCGGTACTATGGCGACGTCGACACTGGCAGACACGATGATGATGGCAACGATGCTGGTGACGACGATAACGATGACGACGACAAGGCCGAAAGCGGCACCGATGCTGACCACGCTGATGACGATGATGGTGTCCACGTGTCGGTGATGAAGGAATGTTTGGGAGGGATTTCGACATGCGCCCACGGCCGGCGGGTGCGAATGGCCCGCATAGTATTGGGCAGGAACTGTGTCCCCCCAGCACGCGCGCAGCGGCGTTCGAATGATTTCGACATGCGCGCGCGAGAGGCACGCTTGGTCGAATTTGATGAACATGTTGAGCTTAATGGTGTTCTCAAGGGTTCAGAAGAGCGAGCGCGCAGACTGATTTCAAAACTCATTGTGCAGCACCATCAGTTGTTTGCACAGCGAGCGGCTTGAATAAGGAACACTCACTTTTCAAAAGGGGCTCGGTCGTTCCTTGGGTTTGCATGCGTTCCGCTACCTTTTTGGCGGCGAGCCCCCCTGGTGTTCCTTCAGATGTTGGACGCGCGGGTTCATTTTGCCGATGAGGGGCTCGGCCGTTCCTTCGGACTTCGTAGACCTACTTGGAAAAAAGGGGCTTCGTTCCTTATCTATCGTTCCTTAGGTCAGGTCGATGACTGTATGTGTTCGGGGCACTCGGCAAATCCATGGTTTTGCGACTGAACTAAGGTTGCCGCGTGACCCCGATTTGATTCCGAGGTGGCCCCGAGACGACCCAATGAGCCCGACGATTGCTCCAAGATGACCCCGTGAACCCGCGTTGACCCCAAGATTGCCCATGATTGCCCCAGTGTGGCTCCAATGTGAGATGCGTTTCTCCCTTCTGCGTTGATTCTTGGCTTGGGCCGATCGGACGGATTTGGGTGCCGGCCCTCCACCCCATTGTTGTCGTCCTCTTATTCCTCCCCCTCGTCGTCGTCGTCCTCGTCCTCGTCGTCGTCGTCGTCGTCGGTGTCCGCTTGCCCCCCCCCCCGGCCCCATGCATAGCAAAAATTTGAATCCCCGGCTCTAGCCGAATCCATAGTTTCCCTGATCGGAAGACCCCACGGCCGGCTTTTCACCGCGAGTCGTCCTTTAGACGGCCTCGAGGCTTGGCGATGACCCCCAGAGTTCGAAAATGGCTAAAAACTCCCGCCGCGATTTTTTCGCAGCCCGAGCATGTCTGGGACCCGCTGGCGTCGATCCAGCCGCAGCCGCTGCGGAGCGAGGGGCCCCAAGGGCCTGTCAGCACTTTCGGGGGGCAAGTAGTCGTGGTCGTGGTTGTCGTCGTGGTCGTCGTCGTGGTCGTCGTCGTCGTCGTCGTCGTCGTCGTGTTCGTCTCGTCATCGTCGCGGTCGTGTTCGTAGTCGCCGTGGTCGTTGTCGCCGTCGTCGTGGTCGCCGTCGTGGTCGTCGTCGCGGTCGTCGTCGTGGTCGTCGTCGTCGTCGTCGTGGTCGTCGTGTCGTGGTCGTCGTCGCAGTCGCCGCCGTCGGTCTAGCCGTCGTCGTCGCAGCCGCGTCGGAGCGAGGGGCTTCGAGGGCCCGTGGGGCCCGCCAGCCGGAGGGCACCATGGCCTCCGCGCCGGAGCGCCCCTCGCAGTGGGCCCGCCGCGGCGCGCTCTTTCTCGGGCTCCTTGCTTGGCGCCTGACGGGCCAGGACGCCCCGGAGGGCCTCGGAACCCCACCCTGACCGCGGATCGGCCGTGCTTGGGCAGGTTCGCCGGTTCGAGGTGCGAGGTTTTCGTCAGGCAGTGGCGACCGGCTGAGACTGTCTTGTTTTAGCACATCAGGTCTACGTTCTAAGAGCATTGCTTTCGTCACGAGAACATGTTTTTGGTTTCTAAGAACATGTCGTGGTAGGCCTGTAGAAATGCCAGGACGGCCGGTCCCTGCTCAAGACGTGGCAAAGCCCCGAACGGTGCGAACAAGTCTGGCAGAGATCTCCCCCGCCTCAGACAATTTCAGAGCAGGACGAGTTGCCCATGCCGCTTACTTTCGCCCGTCTTCCCCGTCTTGGGTTATGATGTTCCAACCCACTTTAGCCCTGATCACCAGAAAGAACTTCGAGCACCAGGGAGCAACATAAGTCCTGGGCCTCCTGGGCGGCCCTCGTCGCCACCGCTGGATTCGCCTACTTGGGAGTGCCGGGAAGGTCGGTCCCTGCTCAATCTCGGGCGTTTGCGCCAGGGTCTCGGTGGTTCCCCCCCCCGCCTCGGGGGGGGGGGGGCCTCCGACAGCGGCCGCGCCCCGCCGAGCTCGGCGCCCCCGGAGGGGCCCCATCGGATCGACCCGAAGGGCCGCCGGAGAGCCGAGCGATGGCCCAAAGACCGAGGGGGGCAACTTCTCAGGGGAGGAAAGAACCACCCGGACCGGACAATTGGCGTTCACTAAAAACTGCCCTGGGCGTTTCCTAAACAGCCCTGCCCTGTTCGATTCCTTCTTTGGGCGCTTTTACGGAGCGACTTCGCGCGTCGGGGTGGTTATTCTGGGGGGGGGGGATTTTTTGACCTCTGATTTTGGCGGGGGATGGGCCCCTCCCCACAGATAGGCGACGCCCAGGGTTGGGCTGCATCTTCGGGGGGGCCTCGCGTGCTGCCGCCCCAAAGTGGGCGTGCTCTCCTGTGCCCGGCGCGGACTCCGCGCGGACCTGGCGCGGATTCGACGCGGATCCGACGCGGATCCGACGAGGCCGAAATTGCTTCGACACGGATCCGACGCGGATAGGGCTAAGTTGGGCCTGTCCCTCTACAGGGGGAATATTCGAAAATAGTAAAACAAATATTCAGGGGACGATTTTTTGAGCACCTTTTTTGTATTTTTGAATATTTTTGCATATTTCTCATTTTTCCTCCAAAATCTGCCTGTAGGGGGACATGCCCGACCTAAGGATAGGGCCGCGACGGGACGGACAAGGTCCCAAGAGGATGCAACATGAGGGATGCTCCCACAGATGCGCGACACCTGGGGGCACACCTAATCCGCGAGGGTGTCGCCCCCTGCCGCGGGCCCCCCCTCTCTCGGAGAAGGGGGGTATGCAAGACCTGGGCGCCGTCGTGAAGCAGCGCCGGAACTCCGAACGGGGCCGCTTGGGTTCGGGTCTCCCGTATCGGGTCACTCTTGGGGCTGTCTTGGGACCTTCTTGTCTTAGGGGTCTCTTGAGCCGTCTTGGAATCTTGAGCCGTCTTGAGGCGCTCTCGACAGCCTTTTGGGCCGTCTTGGGGCGGTCTTGGGGGGCCTCGTGGGCCGGCTTGGAGCGTCGGAAGCTTGAAAAGGCGAGCGTGCCCAAATCCAACAAGAACCGAAGGAAAATTGCAGTTGGGCTCCTCTTGGGGGTGCTCTTGGAGCGCTCCTGGAGGCCTCTTGTTAGCCTCTTGGGCCGTCTTGGGTCCATCTCGGGCTCCCTGGAGCACTCTTGGGACGTCTTGGCGGCCTCTCGTATTGTACCGTCTCGGTGGCCTTTTATGAAGGAGTGTGGTTTCAAGAGCGCGAGCACTGCGTACTTTACGAGGGCTTCTGACGTCGGGGGCGTCGGGGATGCAAATATCGCATAAGTTACGAGAGAGTATTGCCTCGGAGACGCGACCATGGTGTAATTGACCAAGAATTATGGTCTCAGGAGCGCGGGCACACTGTAATTTGCGAGGGTTTATAGCCTCGGGGACGCGAATGCAGTGTAATTGACGAGGGGATATATCCTCGGGGGCGCGACTACGGTGTAATTTACAAGGGATGATGGTTTCGGGGGGCGAACCTCGTGTATTTTTAATGTGCCAGGACCCCTCAGAAACTTTAAGACCCCCCCAGGTGGTGATAATCAGGGCTCTTTTCGGCTCCCCCCCCTCGCGCGGACGTCACCAATTCACAGAGTAGGAAGCACAAAGCAGGACTACCACATTGGAGACTGGAAACTGGAACTGGTGCATGGAGCAGCTAGCCTAACCCGCGCAGCCTGGTGGCCCCACAAGGGGGCCGGCGGATTCCAGGAGGGGTCCAGGCAGCCCTTCGCCTCTCTGGGAATTCCTGGGCAGCTCTGGACGAGCCCCGGAGAGTCCGACTCGCTGGCCGAACGGGCCACAAGAGAGCCCCGAGACGCCCAAGATGGCCTCAATACGGCCTTACAGGCCGCCAAGAAGCCCCAAGAGCCTCAAGAGACCCTCCAAGTAGGTCCCAAGACGCTAAAATCTGGATTTCCCTTTTGTGAATAAACCTACGTACTTGGTACATGGGCGTTATTAAAGTTTGTGTGTTTTTTGCCGTCGCGGCGCTGACGGCTATGATGTGTTCAAAAGCCGTATGTGGCACGGTGAGAGCATTGAATAAGGAACCATTGGATGAGGAAGCCAGGGTTTGGAAGCCGGTGGAACTCCAATCGTGGATTGGCTATGACTGTCACCGCCGCCCTTATCCGATAAGGAATCCTTCTGGGTCTGACGCCTCCTGGGTACATCCATTACCCAACTCCCCCACCGTATCAGTTGGCGTTTCCTTCACTTTCGTTGTGCTGTGTAAATGGCTGCACCAACATAGAGCCAGTTCTACCTGAGTCCAACAATGTCTGAGCACCACTGCGACTGTGAGCACCCAGCCGCCTGTGAACGCATCTCCAGGAGGCAGGGCACAACAATACCGTAGAGGGAAGGTACATTCACACGAGCACACATTTTGGGGAGCGCGGAGGGGGGCGTGGAGGGGGACCCATGGACTGGGGAGGATTCTGGAGGAGTTGGGAGGAGCGCCGATGAGTGCGATCATAGCAGGAGGAAGATGGGGGAGGAGGAGGAGGAGGAGGAGGAGGAGGAGGAGGAGGAGGAGGAGGAGGAGGAGGAGGAGGGGGGAGGAGGAGGAGGAGGGAAGGGGAGGAGGAGGAGGAGGAGGAGGAGGAGGAGGAGGAGGAGGAGGAGGAGGAGAAGGAAGAGGAGGAGGAGGAGAGGACGG